AGTTCAGGAAGGCCTCTGTAGGACCTCTTTACACTGGAAAAGACATCTCTCCTCATGATCTTGGTGAGGTCTTTAGGGATGCACCTAGAGCCTTATTTGGCGTCTCAGGTCCTCTATCAGCACCTTTAAAGTCTTGGACAACACTATGTAGCGAGGCAATGGATTAGCCAACAAGACGTCTGTGACATGTTGAGGCTCCGGCCACCTCAGGATGGGATTTATGTGTGGTTCAAGCCTCTAATCTCGTCCTGCATTCAGATGTTCCAGACCAGGACTTGGGTGCGGTCTGAACATGGTGAGGGTGCAGGAGAGTTTACAGGAATTGAGGCAAATCGAAGCCTAGATACGGACTTCTAGGAACTTTGGACTGAATAGTTGTTTAGGCTACAGCTTGGTCGTCTGTCTTTGCTGTACATCTGGAAGATCTGAGCAAAGGTCTGATAATGCTTTTCTTTCCAGGTGTCCCACCACTGTCCCAACGTTCCCATCCTCCTGGTTGGTACCAAGAGCGACCTCAGGAATGACGCTGAGATCCAGAAGAAACTCAAGGAGCAGAACCAGGCGCCCATCACCAACCAGCAGGGCGCCAGCCTCGCCAAGCAGATCCAGGCTGTGCGTTACATGGAGTGCTCTGCTCTGAACCAGGATGGCATTAAGGAGGTGTTCGCCGAGGCCGTGAGGTCCTACCTGAACCCACAGCCCACAGTCAACAAGAGGCCCTGCGTCCTGCTGTGAGCAGGCGACGGGACCGAGCTCCTCCGTCTGAGAGACTGCTCTGGAAAATATTTGTTAATTTTACTTTCATTTAATTCGATTTTTATCCTTTATTAAGAGAAAAGGCAGATTTTGGAGCGAAGTCGGAGGTTTTCCAATCTTCTAATAAAAGGCAAAGGGCTGTAGTTTAAATGTGTGCAACTCTGCTATGATCCTTGATCAGATCAAACCGAACCAGAGGCATCTGAGTGTGTGCAGATCCTCCTCGGACGTCCTCCACAGGGCGCTCTTATATAAGGCTTTGGTACAAATACAGACTGATCGGTCTAGGAATATCTGATTAAAGAAAAACTGCCAAGAGGTTTATTGTTCCAAAATATCCCCAGAAAAATTTTCAGGTTCACATTAGCATCTCCTTATCTTAGTCAACATAACCAGGGAAGCACAGTAAAACCAGTGACTGCAGATCCCACTGGTCGGTGGAGGACCATTCCTCTGGGGTCTGCCTGAACTTGTGAAGCATGTTGGGCTGAAGGTCTGGGAGGACGGGCGTCCAACAGATGGAGGTTCAGGATGAGTCCAGCACCGGTACCAACAGGCATATTCAGAAACACTTGGTTCGTACATAAATGTACACACAGAAACACACACCGTTTCCCTGAGCGCTCCTGATGCTCATAAAGTCAAGCAATAATTTGTTGTGCTATCAAAACCCTTCTTTCCTGTGTATTTGATTCATTAAAACCAAATAAAAACAAGCTGCAGTCACCTTGCTTTAGACTGAAACAGCAGTTGTTTGAGGCAGTAGAACTGTTGGTATTTTTGGAGGAAATCATGATAAAAAAAACAAGAATTTAGACTGCAGTAAAAACGTCCTGCAACAACTGCAGCATTAAAACCTCCTCAGTTAGTAAGAAAATCATCTAGAATAACTGCCGACACTGTGAAACATCACAACACTGTTCAAATCCGTACAGCAAAAAACACGTCTGAACTCAAACTGAAGGTTTCTGCTGGTTGTTTTAGAGTTTAGCTAAGCTGTTACCGAGGTTAAACACCTTAAATACAGCTCCACCACTTTGTCTTAAAAATCTAAATCCTTTGTCTTTATTGGAGAAATAATTTACGATATTTTATTTAAGTGGACATTGCAATAAAAGCACATCTTATCACAGTGAACGGCTATTTGTTTTTATTTCATTCATTTTCTTTTAGCTAGCTGCTAACATCACTGCCCACAGGTCAAGAGAAAAAACACCAGAATGAAGATTAGAGAAAACCAGAAGCTTCAAATCAGACTCTACAGGTTAAAGGTCATGATCCTGAACCCGTCTGGAAGGTTTGAAGAAGAAACCGTCCTCTCTCCAGAAACAAGATGGCAGCAGGACTCTGGTTAGCGAAGCTGAGAGATCTGCTAGCAAAGATCACTGATCTCTATCTATTCACTGGACTGCTGATCGCCTGTTGGTAGTACAGGGTTGAAGTGAAGCCATCGGCCTCTCCAGAAACAGAAGAACTTCTTCTTCAACTATAAACAACAATCTAAATCTTCTCCACGCAACATTTTAAATAATGGCATTTTAAATAATAACACCAAAGTACAGCAATTATGATCATGCATAACTTTCTGAATGTGGCGGGCGCTACCATTTTGATTTGCTTGATTCCCTCCTTCTTCGTCTTCTTCTTCTTGTGTTTTATGACCTTTGGCTGACAACTTTTGGTGCATTACCGCCAACAACTGCTTGATTTACAATTACCTACTGAGCTATCCAGTTGCTCTCAATACAAGATCAATAGAGGCCAGGGTCTACCACACCAGGCAGGACCCCCGATGCAGACTGTGCAAAGATGGCTCTGAAACAATACAGCACATAACAGCAGGGTGTAAAATGCAGGCAGGAAGTGCATACATGGAACGCCACAACCAGGTAGCTGTCATAGTGTACAGGAAGCCATGAGTATGGGCTGGAAGTCCCAAGGTCAAAATGGAAGACACCTCCTAAGGTAGTTGAGAATGACCGAGCTAAGATCCTATGGGACTTCAAGATCCAGACTGACAAACAGGTGATGGCTAACCAACCAGACATCGTGTTGATCGACAAACAGCAGAAGGCGGCAGTAGTGATAGATGTGGCAATCCCAAGCGACAGCAACATCAAGAAGAAGAAAGAACACGAGAAGCTTGAGAAATACCAAGGGCTGAAGGAGGAGCTAGAAAAGATGTGGAAAGTAAGAGCAGCAGTGGTGCCAGTGGTAATTGGAGCACTGGGGGCTGTGACCCCCAAACTGGGAGAGTGGCTACAGCAGATTCCAGGTAAAACATCAGAGGTCTCTGTCCAGAAGAGCGCAGTCCTAGGAACAGCTAAGATACTGCGCAGAACCCTCAAACTCCCAGGCCTCTGGTAGAGGACCCGAGCTTGAGGATGACACATACCACCCCACGAGGGGTGAGAAAACAGTTTTTATATATAGACAGCGCCATCCACTTAATAAAGAATTGCTACATTGAGATTTCACAGTGAATCACTTTCTATTTACTCTACTTTCTATTTTCTAATGTTAGACATGTCAGTGACTAATTTAGTCAACATCTTCGAGTCAGTCCAAGATAGCCAGACTAATGTTATGTTTTTGCAGCTAAATGCAACACATGTTGGGGTTTTAACTGCACATCTGTGCGAGAGTGGGAAGTACCAGCATGGCTGTCGGCTTTTTTCACTTTATCTTTTTTCGGGCAATCAGCAATCCAGTGAATAAATAGGGATCAGGGGCGAAGACGCCCAGGAAGAGACCAAGGCTGAGATGTTTGGGTGTAAAACATAGAAACGTGTCAGGAGACAAAACCAGACGGTAGTACCAACAGCTCATAGCAGCACAGTGGTGGAAGAGTTATGATCTGGGCTCACTCAGCATCAAATAAGTAGATCTGTTAGATGAATGTACGGGAAATGATGGCAGAACCTGGTTCCTGTAACTGGCTCACATGGTGTGAACCACAGATCCTGCATCTGTTCAGACTGTTAATCTGGTGACATTTACTCAGACGATTAACAAACCAGATCTTCTGATCAGAGCAGGTTCTGGTTCCGTTTTAACAATGTGCACATTTTCAGATCGAAATCAGAAAATATTTTTAGGGATAAAATGAGGATGCTGAGGTCATGATTCAGAACATTGATGATCTAAAATTATCCAAAATTAGACCTTTTTTTTCACTACAAAAAGCTTTTTTACAGTAAAGTTCTGGAGAAGTTCCACTCTGCTGGTTCCCTAAACAGCTGCTGTGGTTTTACTGGTCTGAGTTCTGCCTGCTTCTGTTGTTTAAAGTAATGATGTTGGGGAGGGAAGTCTGTTAAATGAATAACCTGCAGACAGACATCTCCAAACCATAAAATGTCTCCTTCATGGAAGAACCTGGATCCTCTGAGGAACGCTTTCGCAGACATGACAGGAGGAGCCCTCCAGGATGGTTAGCGAGCCTCCAGGAGCTGCGAGGCTGTGGTGGCCTGACGTTTGTCTGTATTCAGGTCCTGTATCCGCCCTGCAGATGGCGCTGTTGAGCCAGGGTCGCTTAGCTGACCAATGTAAGGAGTCCTCTTCTTCCATATTAGATTTTTAGAAGCTGTAAATTGATTGGATCAGGGTCTGATGACATCACATGGGTTAATCTTTATAATCAGACTGTTCAGTTATTCATGAAATATTTTCATTAATAAAGGCTGCCAGCTTTATTGGAAGGGTTCAAGGAGAACCTAACCCATCAGCAGGTCTGGTTCTGTGGAGCAGCGCCCCCTGCTGTACAGAGCCCTGACCTTATTGCACAAAAAAATGCAAAGTTTATTTATTGTAGGAAATATTTATTCTTCCTTTGAATTAATCAAATATTTGAATGTTTCAGCATTTGAATATATATTTTAGGCAACTGAAGGCTGCTTACTGTATCCAATGTTAGTAGAAAATTGAGTGGAAGGAAAACCTGTTGTGGTGAGAGGATTATAAAACAGAAGATTCACCAGGTGAAACCTCGAGAGCAGGACATGAAGCCCGCTCTGGGCTGCTGCAGGTCCGGTCTGACGGGTAACGGTGCCACATTTTCTCCTGGTTCTGGTCTACTGGGCCTCTAAAGTCCAGTCATCTAGAGCAGTCATGTGTCCTCCTGATTTCCTGATCCTGGCCCAGACTGACAGCAGTACCGCTATGGCATCTAATCACCATGGTAACCCTGTGAAATTAGCCCTATCATGGTTTTTATGTTAGGCTTTTATTTTTTATAAAAATCAGAAAAAAATTTATTAAATTCTAAGAATAAATAAAAAGATGTTCTGAACCGAGGTTCTGCTGGAAGCCAGGAGAAACCAGTTCCGTCTCATGTGGCAGAACCTTTTCTTTTCTGGGAACAGAACCAGACTGATCCGAACAGGAAGCTTTATTCTTTCCACTCCTGCTATGGAAAAGATTTCAAACAGAACCTCCTGAAGGTTTCAATCCTGCAGGGGAAAAGATCCATGGTTCTGTGGGATCCATTGGGCAACGGTTTGGTCCCTTGTTCCGGTCCGATGGTTCTGTCCCTGATCTGTTAAAACTGTTTGTCTGTCCGGACCCCGTCAGCGAACCAGAACCGTTTCCCTCCTAATTTCTAGTTCCTGTTAAGTTAACTGTTGGTGGAGCTGTGAATCGGGTTCTGCATCAGAACCTCATTGTGATCCCTCAGAATCCATTCTCATGTCCGGGTCAGAAGCGTTTCTCCTCCGGCAGCGTGGCCACCATCACCTGAGTGCTGCCGAAGTCCCAGAAGGCCGTCATGTGGAAGGCCATGTTGGAGAAGACCACCATGTACTCGAAGAAGGCGAACAGGGTGTAGACTGGTGGGGGGGGACAGACAGACGGACAGAAGAGGGTCAGACGGAGTCATGATGAGCGGCAGGACACCTGCGTTGCGGCGGCTGGACTCACCTCCCTCCTCACAGTATTTGTTGTGGCGTCTGAAGAAGTAGGCGGCGAAGGCGCAGCAGCTGACGTTGAACAGGAAGAGGCGGGTCTTCCACAGGAAGGACGTCTTCTCCTGAACCAGAAATACAGACGGAGAGCAGAAGGCGGTTTAATCCCAGCAGCACAGACCGATCAACTCAGATTTATTATGGGGTTTATACAGAAATGAGTAACTCTAATTTAATGCTTTCTGATGCTCTTTTAAAGATTTTGGAAATAATTTTAACCCCATCAACACATTGCCCATATATACATATACACACACACACACACACACATATACACACACACATATACAATATGTATATATGTGTGTATATATTCTGAGCAAATATATCACAATATAATAAAAACAAACAATATTATAAAAACCAAATTGTTTTTATAAAAAAAAATGTTTTTTAATAAAGCCTTTTAAATGCCATGATAATCACATTTGATGAATTTTAATGCCAATTAAGGCCTTAATTAACAAATAATAATACCGATGGTTCTGGTTGGGCGGCAGCCGGGGACACTCCACAGCTGATCTACATCTCCACTCTTCAAAGGGGTTTACATTCATTTGTTTACATTCATAAATAAATCTGATGTTTATCATTAATGAATAAAGGATGAAATGGACCAGAACCAGCAGCACAGAACCACTGCTTCTCTGTAGGACTTTATCTGCCCAACTGCTCTAGGTGACATCACAGATAAACCTGCAGTGAGGACTTTCTAACAGAACCATCTGGTGTCGCTGGGCTCAGCTCACCTCTGGGCTGACGTACTGCCTCTTGATGACGTACCACAGCCAGCAGGTGATGAGCATGTGGAGCAGCGAGCACGCTATGAAGACGATGAAGCCGTACTTATGGACCTCTGCAGACAACAGACAAAGCGGTTACTCTGAGCAATGCCACCAGGAGCCTTTGGAGGAGCTCCGCCGGCCGACTCACTGTAGGCTTCGGTGGACGCCACGTAGGTCAGCAGAACCAGGCCCGTGTTCTCCGCCACGCTGCAGATCAGAACCAGGCCGCTCAGCAGCAGCTCCGGCAGCCTGGCGGCGAAGCGGCAGCGGTAGAAGTTAAAGTAGGCCACGGCCACCAGGTAGCGCGGCGCCGAGTGGAGGCCGATGCAGCTGCGCCAGATGTAGAGCTCCGGGGCCCGGCTGATGGCGGAGCTGATGGAAGGCAGGTAGTTGGACACCTGGACGGACAGAGAGACGGGAAGAGGGGCGGTTCAAACAAAACATTTCTTTTGACTGAGTCTCCAACATGTGGAGCCGCCTTCATCCAGAACCATCAGAATAAACGGCCTGCTGAAGGTCCAGCCTCCCAATCAGGCTTAGGTCCAAACTTTAACTAGGCCGTTTCCTAGTGATGGGTTAATCAGGCATCTCGAAGTGTTTGCCAAACTATTGATGCTGCCTCACAGAATACTGACACCTGCTGGACCTTTAAAGAAACTACAGGAAGCTAATTTTACAGACCGAATTGATATAATGACCTACTACATTGATAGAATTTAAGTTTTTGTAGATTATATTGTATAATTTCATATCTTTGTTTAATATCTTTGATATTTTTACCTGCAGCCAATAAATAATATAAACATATCATAATTGGGAATATTTAGGGGAAAATGTAAATGAGGGTGCTTGTCGACTAGGATTATAAATCAGAATTTTAAAACAATAAGTACAGTACAAAACAGTAAATAAACTAAGATGATAAGACTATATATATATATATATATATATATATATATATATATATATATATATATATATATATATGGGGATAGATGCTCCTGCAGCGAAAGTCTAGAAGACATAAAATAGATTTTAAAACAAAATATTTGGACATGTAATTTCATTCCTTTTTGTCTTGCTTAAAGAAGTAACTTTTAAAACAAAAAAACAGATAAAAGAAGGTTTGACTTCTTCAAGCAAAACGAGCAAATTAACAGAGTCGGAAAAATTTATTTCTAGACCATTGAGGTTGGGTCCAATTCCAAATTTTAATTAATCATTAAAATAAACTATTTATTTTAAGATCTTAAGTGAAAAATAAATTTTTGTTACAAATTATCAGGCGGTTGTTAATAAAACAGAATAATGTGGAGAAGAATAACGGATGAACATAACTTTAGAAACAATAATGATCGGTTTGTTGAAACAAGAGGGTTTAAAGGGAATTTAATGTTGATCAAATCAAACTGATGAATTCTGGGTAATAAAGCTAGCTCAGCTGATGTGTGGATCAAGCAAGGAAAGGGGCGGGGCTAAAGAGCGCTGTTTAGAGCTGGATGTTTTATTCCCAGATTAAATTAAATTTCTGCTTTTGGTCTCAAATTTGATTCCAAATTCTTTGATGTTTCAGATTAAAGAAGCTTTGATGTTCTTAATATTTCTAAGATGATCTGAAACAGTTTTATAAACAAACCAAAAAGCCAAAGTTGTTGACACTATATCTAATGATTCAGTGACTAGAAGGAGGATTATTATTGATTTTGTTCACAGATTAAAGCAGATTAAGGGATGAGGAGAAACTAATAGTTTCAGTCTGTTTAGATTCCAAGGTTGAATTTGGTCCGACTCCTCCTCGGACCCGACCCGCTTCCCGCTCCTCCTCACCTGGCAGTGGGTGTAGGTGGCGTCCTCGTAGTGGTACAGCATGGAGGTCACCAGGCAGACCAGGAGGCCCATCAGCGGGAGCAGAACCGTTGCCACGGCAAAGATGGTGAAGGGAACCCGGACCAGAGGCCGGTCCCGGTCCGGGTTGCTCAGAAGGCCCTGGAGCATCCTGAAGGAAAGACAGAGGGAGACAGGATCCAGAACCCAATCAGAACTCAGGATCCAGAACCCGATCAGAACTCGGGATCCAGAACCAGATCCAGACGCGGGATCCAGACGCGGGATTCAGATTCCGATCCAGACGTGGGATTCATAACCCGATCCAATCGCAGAATCTAGAACCTGATCCAGAAACATGATCCAGAACTGGCTAAGGAGGACAGAGATGTTCCGGATCAGACTGGGGTCCACAGTTAGGTTCTGATACATCAGTCCATTTTAACTGATAGAAGGATCAGAACCCTCCAACCAGAGAATACGCCACAGAACCCATCCTTTCTGTTGTGGTCAGCAGCGGTTCTGACAGCCCGGCGAGTTAACCAGTGAAGGTTCTGCCCAAAAGTTTACCGAGATCAGCAGAACCTCAGTGAGAATGCAGGGAGTGGATCTTACTCCAGAACAGAACCTCTGGTGATTGGATCGGTACGAGCAGCATGGTTCTGACTGTGTGGTATTGACCTGCGCAGAACCTGGAGCTGGTGGACCACTATGCTGGTTCTGATCCACATTGCTAACTTCCTGCTATGCAGTTCTATGCGGCTCACCAGAACCTGAAGGGGTCTGTCGGGGTTTGGATCCTGAAACTGCTCCACGTGTCTGGTGGCCCGGTTGGTTCTGTCAGAACCCAGCTGTGACCTCCTGAAAGTTTCAGAAATCCAAATCCAGAGAAGATTATCGGGTTCTGGTCGAAATTTTACTGAACCTCAACACATGAAGCTGTGGGCCTTCAGAACCAGAACCAGGGAGGAGGTGGGACTGTAGGAGGTTCTGGGCTCTTTCTGAGTCTGTGGTGACCAGCGCTGTTCCCTCTGGATGGACCCGGACAGCTCAGAACCACCCTGCATGTCTGCCGGTCTTGGAACAGAACCCTTGATCCGTCAAGCTGGCAGCATCTGTCAACAGACAGAATCAACCGTCCCAAATGGTGACTTTAGTCCTGACCCGGAACTTAAAGGCTTTCTGACCCTTTTCTGTAATGTTTCCATCCAGAGTTGTGGGAGCCTTCTGGTTCTGATCCAGAACCTCCTGCCAAGCGTGGATCTCATCAGTTCTAAGTGGTTCCTTTCCTACCGGACTGGGAACCAGAAAGACAGAACACCATGAACTTCCATCTACACTACCAGCTATCTAACACCAATCAGAACTTACTTCATCCTTCTCAGAACTTCGGACTGCGGGGGGTTGAAAACAGCACAGAAGAACATTTAGAACCACGTTAACGGATCAGAACCCAGTTATCCACCGGGCCCGGCTCAGACCCAGAACCTTAACGGTGGATTGGTTGACCAACCAGTGCTGCTTTTGGAAACATTTTTGCCTACTTCAAATATCCGATACCATGGAAATAAAAAAACAAATACTAACAGGCATGAAAAATGTTCTTGTTTCAATATGAACAGGTGAAAACTTTCAGAACGGACAATTAGAATGGGGTGAATAAAATATCTAAGAATTATCCAAATTTAATCTGATCATATTTTGAGGTTTTATTCGTATGGATCTGGATGCAGCAACGGAGTGTGAAAACTTTTCTGAGTGTCGATTATTTATAGACCAGCGACTCATTCGGCTCATGTTTATCACAGAACCAGGCTGGTTTGGATCCATTCATCTGTGTTTGCTAATAAAATACAGAAATATAAATACATATTTGATCACATGGCTGATGTCATCAGCTCGTTCAGGATCTAAAGTTTAATTTTACATAAAGTTAGCTGTGAGGTTTCACTTAGTAAAATGAGATGAAGGCGTTTTAGTTTCTGTGTTTTAAACAAAGCTGAAGTTGGCTTCCGATTTGGGAAATGAATACATTTTTTCTTACCTTTAGCATTTTTTTGTCTACTCTAATTAAAAAAACTGCAACACCTAAACAGATCTAACCTGGACTGGATTATTCTAAACATTTTTTTTAGAATAATTAAAACCAGGTCTGGGATTTATAAAACCATTCTCTGATTTGTGAAACTGCAATAAAGGCCGATTTTAACACTTTTTTGTGTCCATGTCTCAGTAGAAGTGGTCTAGCTCTAAAACTAAAAACACTTAGACACATCAAACTTGGACTAGATTAATCTAAACTATTTGTAGAATGATTAAAACCAGGTCTATGATTTGTTAAAATTCAATAAAGTCCGATTTTAACACTTTTTTGTATCTATATCACACTATATGCGGTCTAGCTCTAAAATTACAACACCTACAGGTGCTGGTCATAAAATTAGAATATCATGAAAAAGTAGATTGATTTCAGTAATTCCATTTAAAAAGTGAAACTTGTATATTATATTCATACATTACATACAAACTCATATATTTCAGATGTTTATTTTGTTTAATTTTGATGATTACAAATGACAACAAATGAAAATCTCAAATTCATCATATCAGAAAATTAGAATATTGTGAAAAGGTTCAAAATTGATGGCCCCTGGTGCCACACTCTAATCAGCTAATTAACTCAAACCACCTGCAAAAGCCTTTAAATGGTCTTTCAGTCTAGTTCTATAGGCTACACAATCATGGGGAAGACTGCTGACTTGACAGTTGTCCAAAAGACGACCATCGACACCTTGCACAAGGAGGGCAAGACACAAAAGGTCATCGCTAAAGAGGCTGGCTGTTCACAGAGCTCAGTGTCCAAGCACATTAATAGAGAGGCGAAGGGAAGGAAAAGCTGTGGTCGAAAAAAGTGTACAAGCAAGAGAGATAACCGCACCCTGGAGAGGATTGTGAAACAAAACCCCTTCAAAAATGTGGGGGAGATTCACAAAGAGTGGACTGCAGCTGGAGTGAGTGCTTCAAGAACCACCACACACAGACGTATGAAAGACATGGGTTTCTGCTGTCGCATTCCTTGTGTCAAGCCACTCTTGAACCACAGACAGCGTCAGAAGCGTCTTGCCTGGGCTAAAGAGAAACAGGACTGGACTGCTGGTGAGTGGTCCAAAGTCATGTTCTCTGATGAAAGTAAATTTTGCATTTCCTTTGGAAATCAAGGTCCCAGAGTCTGGAGGAAAAGAAGAGAGGCACTTCATCCACGTTGCTTGAAGTCCAGTGTAAAGTTTCCACAGTCAGTGATGGTTTGGGGTGCCATGTCATCTGCTGGTGTTGGTCCATTGTGTTTTCTGAGGTCCAGGGTCAACGCAGCCACATACCAGGAAGTTTTAGAGCACTTCATGCTTCCTGCAGCTGACCAACTTTTTGGAGATGCAGATTTCATTTTCCAACAGGACTTGGCACCTGCACACAGTGCCAAAGCTACCAGTACCTGGTTGAAGGACCATGGTATCCCTGTTCTTAATTGGCCAGCAAACTCTCCTGACCTTAACCCCATAGAAAATCTATGGGGTATTGTGAAGAAGAAGATGCAATACACCAGACCCAACAATTCAGAAGAGCTAAAAGCCACTATTAGAGCAACCTGGGCTATCATAACACCTGAGCAGTGCCACAGACTGATCGACTCCATGCCACGCCGCATTGCTGCAGTAATACAGGCCAAAGGAGGCCCAACTAAATACTGAGTGCTGTACATGCTCATACTTTTCATGTTCATACTTTTCAGTTGGCCAACATTTCTATAAATCCTTTGTTTTTATTGGTCTTCAGTAATATTCTAATTTTCTGATATGATGAATTTGAGATTTTCATTTGTTGTCATTTGTAATCATCAAAATTAAACAAAATAAACATCTGAAATATATGAGTTTGTATGTAATGTATGAATATAATATACAAGTTTCACTTTTTAAATGGAATTACTGAAATCAATCTACTTTTTCATGATATTCTAATTTTATGACCAGCACCTGTAGACACATCTTACCTGGATTAGATTATTCTAAACTACTTGTAGAATAATTAAAACCAGGTCTTGGATTTATAAAACCTTGGTCTGATTTGTGAAACTGCAGTAAAACCGATTTTAACACTTTTTTGTCTCCATATCACACTATATGTGGTATAACTCTAAAAGTACAACACTTAGACACATCAAACCTGGACTAGATTAATCTAAACTATTTGTAGATTAATTAAAATCAGGTCTCGGATTTGTGAACCTTCAATTAAACCGACTTTTAACAAAAAAAAAATTGTTGTTAATTGATATTAGCAGGTTCTATAGGATTTAATGTATGTTTAATGTAAAAATGTTCTGAGGTTCGATTGAAGCTTTTGGAGTCAGAACTTTACCGTTTTAACTAAGATAAATCAAAGAACTTAACACTGGAACCTGCTATATCGGTCCAAATATCTTATCCGTCTTATCCACTAGAAATTAATTCTCTTCCAGAAGAAAAACTTTGTTGACTATCTAGCTAGCATCCCTGTTGTCAGTGAGGCAGAGGCTTTACCTGTCCAGGTGAGTTTATCTACTGACGTCAGCAGCGGGCCATCAGCTCTCTGATCCAGTTTAAATCGTCCAAACCTGAACCTGGGTCGGCTCTGGTTCGGTTCCGTTTGGTCAGCAGCTTCGCATTAAAGCCATTAACCGGTTAGCTCCGGCTAGCTGAGCTTAGCTCCGTACTTTGGTCCAGCTGAAGTTATTCTGCGTTTCCTCGCCAGCTAAACTGTTTGTTGTCCTCTTCCCGAAGTTACGTGGGACCCGTTCAAAGTCCCTGATAGGTTAAAGGTTCTTTACGGTCAAAGTTGACCAGTTCTGTCCCAAAACGAACCGCGTAGCTTCACAAGACCTAACTTCCGGTTAGAGGACATCTTTCAAAATAAAGGCATAAAGATGTAGTTTAATACTTTAAAGTTGCTGTCCGTCTGATTTTTAACTCTTTTCCAGTCCGCTCCTTGTTCTGGAACATTATGTTCGGGATATCTGTGATAATCCACATTGCACAGAGATGTTTTCTAGCTTCAGAAGACCTGACTTCCGGTTCGCGGGCATCCTTCAAAATAAAAGCACGTGTAAAAAGTTTTCGGTTTATTAAGCAAATATGTAGTTTAATGCTTTAAAGTTTGTGCCCGTCTGATTTTAAACTCTTATCCAGTCCGCTCCTTGTTCTGGAACATTATATTCTTAACATATGTGATCATCCACATTGCACAGAGATATTTTCTGATAAAGGAAAGTGTGGCAGCTCTACACGCACGCGGAAGTTTGCTTTCTGTGACGTGTTTTATTTGGTGGATCAGCTGATCAGCCCAAGCACAGGCGCTGGATTTTGAGCTGCAGCGGGAAGCAGAAAACAGATCTCCTTCAGTTCCAGCAGAACACTAAAACCCTAACAGGTAAGATCAGCCTCTCTGGGGCAAATGGTTAATCTTCATTTAAAGGCTGTGAAGCGATTTCAGACCTTGTTACCGTGAGTAAACCTTGTTTTTGTCCTACTACAGTAGGCTATGATAATACACGTGTAATAACATGTTTAGTTATAGACCTACTTTAGTGATCCAGAGAGGGATTGTAACAGTTACACATCTATTACTAACTTTATTCTCAAATATATTTAATCCTTAAAAGTATTGATAACCCATATTGCTACATTATATTTTATTATTTTTTTTTTATTTAATAGATTTAGTCGTTTTAAAACCACTAAGTAGGTCATTTGACTATGTATGGTTGAACATGATGATCACATTAGACTGAGCCCGGTTCTTGAAGGTCCAGCCAATCACACTGGAACCGCAAAGTGTTCTAGACGTAATACCAGACTTGTCCACCAGATGGAGTCCTTTGTCCTTCTATCATGATACAGTCTTTTCAGATGGCCTATGGGAAACAGAGTTTCACAAAAGTAAATGACCCGATCCACTAGAAATGGAACAACCTGGGAAAAAAAAATAAAAATAATAAAGTACAGCTAAGCATGTAAAATTAAAAAAAAGCACATGCATAGACAGATTTATTTTGTAATTTTGTATACACAAGTGTAAAAAAAAAAAAGAAATTTCGTTAAGAATTTCATTTTTTTTAAAGTGCAGCTTTAAAAACAGTAAAAAAATACATTAAAACAGTAATATAAACATATGACTGTATATTTACAGTTCTGACATTTCAGTTTTTTTTTCCTTTTTAATAATACAATGAAACAACCAATTTTGCAAAACATTCAGCAGTCTAATGGCAATGGGGAAGAAACTGTTCTGGAATCTGATGGACCTGCATCCAATGCTTCGAAGTGTCTTCCCAGAGGGCAGCATGGAGTCTGCTCACACCCCCACAGTCCATGGTGGGGGTGTGAGGGGTCATTTATGATGTTACTGGCTTAGGACATGCAGCGTTATGACCAGTGAGGTGGTGTTTACATGCCAGATGAGGGTGTCTGTGATGTACACCCCCAGGAATTTGGTGGCGTTGACCACCTCTACAGTTGAGCTGTTTATGACCAGTGGAGCGTGGTTAAGACGGTTCTTCCTGAAGTCCAGGATGATCTCCTTCGTCATCTCCTTGTTCAGTATCATGCTTTCGATAAAGATTATTTTGTTAATGTTTTTAGTTTGTAGTTTTCCTGCATCATTCCAACTCTGAGAGATTTTCCTTGTCTGTTTCAGATGAAAGAGGACTCACCTGTTCTGGTGGAGAAAAGAACCAGCCTCTATAAAAGTTTCTGACCGGTAGAGCTGTTGAGCTAAACTATGAAGATAGAAAGAAACAGAAGAGGATTTCCAGAGCATATTTTTGAAGGTCAGCATTTGAAGCTCCCAGAACTAAAAAGAAAAGCTCGATATGAAGGTCTGGAGAGTAAATACCTGTATAGAGAGATTGCAGAATATCCTAAACCTGAGTTCCATGTGAGTCGTCTGAAGCATGACACTTCAGAAGACGGACTTAAAGGGATCAGGAAGGATGGAGGCTTCAGGGATCCATATGGGGGATCCCTGGTTTGGTGGAGTCTGACTGTGGGACCAGAGGAGCTGAAGGATGCTGAGATGAGGCTCCTAGAGAAGACCTTCCCAGACCGGATGGAGGTGGAAGATGCTGAGCAGCAGAGCTTCCTGTGGAGGTTTGCCACCTCTCCGGCCTTCAAGGAGACGTCCCGGCTGGGCTGCTACCGCTTCACCTTCTCACTGGAGGAGGTGCTGACGGCCTACAGAGAACAGGTGAGAACCTTCAACGGGTCAAACCAGGGAATCAAGTTTTACTGGATATGCTGATTAAAGTTCAAGAGAGTAAAAATTTATACTTAGATTTCCAGGGTACCTTCATGTTTGGGTAGGAAAGGTTCTGTCATATCTAAACAGCAGGACATTGCAAAAACCTTTTACTATGAGAGGAGATCAGGTTGGTTCTGTCCAGCTTTAATGTTTGCTTAGCGGTGCCAGACCTCCTCAAGTCAACCAACATCTCTGAGGTCTTTGAGATTTGATTAGGGTTGGGTAAATCCCGACCATTTGGACCATTTCAGTTCTCCACCAACTTCCAGTTTTACCAGTTCATCTGCAGATGACCACTAAATAGCAGATAACCTTCTCTATTTCTGAGATGTTTCATAAAAACATCTCAGAAATAGCTGGAATCTGACAAATATAAACTTTAAATAAAACTGGAAATTCATTTAGGAATGGCTGATGATGGATGAATGAAGGATGGATCAATGGATGGTGGATGGATGGTGGGTGGATGGATGACAGATGGATGGATAATGGATCAATAGATGATGATGGACGATGGATGAGTAGATGATGTTTGAAACGATGGATGAATGATGGATGGATGATCTTTGGATGGATGGATGTTGTATGACGGTGGATGATGGTTGGAATGATGATGGATGGTTGGATGATGGATGGATGGATGGATGGATGATGGATGGATGGATGGATGATGGATGGTTGGATGATGGATGGATGGATGTTTTGATGATGATGGCTGGATAATGGATGGATGTTTGGATGATAGATGGATTGATGATGATGATGGACGGATGGATGGCTGGATGATGGATGGATGTTGATGGATGGATGGATGAATGAGGATGGATGGATGGATGGATGGATGGATGGATGGATGGATGATGATGGACGGATGGATGGATGGATGGATGGATGCATGGATGGATGTATGGATGATGGCTGGATGGATGGATGGATGATGATGGATGGATGGATGGATGGATGGATGATGATGGATGGATGGATGGATGGATGGATCATGATAGATGGATTGATGAATGGATGGATGGATGGATGGATGGCGGTTGGATGGATGGATGGATGGATGGATGGATGAAGGTTGGATGGATGATGGATAGATGGGTGAATAAATGGATGGATGGACGAATGAATGAATAAATGAATGAATGGATGATGGATGGGAGGATAGATGATGATGGATGAATGGATGGATGGATGGTGATGGATGGATGGATGGATCATGGAAGATGGATTGATGAATGGATGGATGGATGGATGGATGGATGGATGGATGAAGGTTGGATGGATGATGGATAGATGGGTGAATAAATGGATGGATGGACGAATGAATGAATAAATGAATGAATGGATGATGGATGGGAGGATAGATGATGATGGATGAATGGATGGATGGATGGATGGATGGATGGATGGATGGATGGATGGTGGGATGGATGGATGGATGGATGGATGGGTGATAGTTGAATGGATGGATGGATGTTTTGATGATGATGGCTGGATAATGGATGGATGTTTGGATGATATATGGATTGATGATGATGATGGATGGATGGAGGATGGATGATGGATGGATGATGATGGATGGATGGATGGATGGATGGATGGATGGATGATGATGGACGGATGGATGGATGGATGGATGGATGTATGGATGATGGCTGGATGGATGGATGGATGATGATGGATGGATGGATCATGGAAGATGGATGGATGGCTGGATGGAATGATGGATGATGATGGATGGATGGATGGATGGATCATGGAAGATGGATGATGATGGATGGATGGATGGATGGATCATGTAAGATGGATTGATGAATGGATGGATGGATGGATGGATGGATGGATGGATGGATGGATGGATGGCGGTTGGATGGATGGATGGATGGATGGATGGATGGCGGTTGGATGGATGGATGGATGGATGGATGAAGGTTGGATGGATCATGGAAGATGGATTGATGAATGGATGGATGGATGGATGGATGGCGGTTGGATGGATGGATGGATGAAGGTTGGATGGATGATGGATAGATGGGTGAATAAATGGATGGATGGACGAATGAATGAATAAATGAATGAATGGATGATGGATGGGAGGATAGATGATGATGGATGAATGGATGGATGGATGGATGGATGGATGGGTGATAGTTGAATGGATGGATGGATGGATGGATGGATGGATGGATGGATGATGGCTGGATGGATGGATGGATGATGATGGATGGATGGATGGATGGATCATGGAAGATGGATTGATGAATTAATGGATGGATGGATGGATGGCGGTTGGATGGATGGATGGATGGATGGATGAAGGTTGGATGGATGATGGATAGATGGGTGAATAAATGGATGGATGGACGAATGAATGAATAAATGAATGAATGGATGATGGATGGGAGGATAGATGATGATGGATGAATGGATGGATGGATGGATGGATGGATGGATGGATGGATGGATGGATGGATGGATGGATGGATGTTTGGATGGATGGATGGATGATGATGGATGGATGGATGGATCATGGAAGATGGATGGATGGCTGGATGGATGGATGGATGGATGATGGATGGGAGGATAGATGATGATGGATGAATGGATGGATGGATGGATGGATGGATGGATGGATGGATGGATGGATGGATGGATGGATGGATGTTTGGATGATAGATGGATTGATGATGATGATGGATGGATGGAGGATGGATGATGGATGGATGATGATGGATGAATGGATGGATGGATGGATGGATGGATGGATGGATGGATGGATGGATGGATGTTTGGATGATAGATGGATTGATGATGATGATGGATGGATGGAGGATGGATGATGGATGGATGATGATGGATGGATGGATGGATGGATGATGATGGACGGATGGATGGATGGATGTATGGATGATGGCTGGATGGATGGATGGATGGATGGATGGATGGATGGATGGATGGATGGATGTTTGGATGATAGATGGATTGATGATGATGATGGATGGATGGAGGATGGATGATGGATGGATGATGATGGATGAATGGATGGATGGATGGATGGATGGATGGATGGCTGGATGGATGGATGGATGGATGATGATGGATGGATGGATGGATGGATCATGGAAGATGGATGATGATGGATGGATGGATGGATGGATGGATGGATGGATGGATGGATGGATGGATGGATCGATCGATGGCGGTTGGATGGATGGATGGATGGATGGATGAAGGTTGGATGGATGATGGATAGATGGGTGAATAAATGGATGGATGGATGGACGAATGAATGTATAAATGAATGAATGGATGATGGATGGGAGGATAGATGATGATGGATGAATGGATGGATGGATGGATGGATGGATGGATGGATGGATGGATGGATGGATGGATGGATGGGTGATAGTTGAATGGATGGATGGATGGATCTCCAACTCTACCTGAACTTCTTTGTTCCACAAAATTATAAATTGTCTAATTTTCTTTTCTGCAGTTCTGCTCTGGAGCCCAACCCGTCATGCGGATTTACAAAACCGTGCTGTACTCACAGGAAGTGATGCACGTGGTTCTGGTCCACAGTCCAGCCAGTCAGAGGGAGTTCTCCCAGTTCCCTTCTCTGAGCCTCGACCCAAACGCTGTTTGTGTTTTCAGTGATGGATGTTTTATCTGGAGGCCCGAGGCGATGTGTGAAACTCATGGGTGAGATGGAGAAACCTCAAACATTCCCAGGGTTTTCCTCATTAAGCAGCTGAATCAGCATTTCTGACCTGTAAACACAGCAGCATGGATCAGCCTACAGAAAGACACCAGATAGAAGCATAAACACAGGTAACAGTCTATGCTCAAAGGTTCATTATTGTTTCTTCCTCTCAGATACGAGCTGGTCTACAGACATCAAACCAGGCAGATGGAAACATGGACTTGCTCTCCTCAGTATTATGTTTGGGATCATGTTGCAGTCGCCCTCCATGTTGGTCCAAAGGTAGCTTCACTGTGTCTAGTCTTCATCAGTCTGATTCTGGATCTCTGGGAGAATTGCAGAAGGACTTACACACACACACACACACACACACTTACACACACACACACACACACACACACACACGCACAAAACACTTAGCAGTGATGGTTCTGGAATCTAGCAGCTTCTAGAAGGAAGGACATAGAGATAGATCTCTTCTTTTTCCTTTTCAGGTGTTGAAGTTCAACGTCGATCAGCTCAGAACTAAGCTGAAGTTCTGCCAGCAAGATGAAGTTAGTTATGGCCAAAACTTTGGAAACCCAGATGGTTTTGATGGCGCTAAAGCCGAAGTGAAGAAGCTGTGGCCCGGCTGGACTGGACTGCTGGAGATTGAAAGCTCGCTGAAGCACAGTCTAACTGGTAGGACTGGTTTACCTCCGTCTAATTATCCATCAGGGGTCTGATTTAGAAAACATTGCAAAGGCTCCATATTAAAAAGTGTTCATACACCTTTAACGCATTTATGAACAGAGAGGGTCCAGTGTGGCAGGTCGGGACCCCATTCAGCACATATATCCTCTAGAGCAGGGGTAACCAATTAAAAATCAGCGGGGTCCGAAAAAAGAATATCATCAACAAGTAAAGGTCCAGAGACATTTTAAATTATAATCTGTTACTTTAAACAGAATTTAACACTGAAAAAAATGAGGTATTTATTATTTTCATCCATGTTATACATTTTAAATGGGCTGCTAATCCGTGACCTCTGCTCTAGGGAGTCTAATTAGCTGGTAAATCAGTCACAATCATGAGCCAGAAAACCTTAGTAATCCCTCACAATTTAAAATCTTCCAGCAGAGCCACTGCACCATGAGGCAGAGACGTCTTAACCTCATTAAAATGTTCATATCAATTGGGGTGAACGCCAAATACCTGGCTATGGGGAAGGGAAGTAAGGGTAAGCAAACCTTTCAATATAGCCTGGATTTTGATGTAGAAATTCTACTGCTTATGAATCTTATCTCTAATAAAATCGATCTACAGTCCCAGTTTCATAAGAAGTTAAATTAAGTGTCTGAGAGGATTTATAATTAAATCTGGCTTGGGTTCATCACGTCATTGTCATGATGTTTTTAAGAGATCTGACCCACATGCAGGAAACCACTCAGAGAACCAGAGAAAATTTTATTATTGAAATTATCAATAAGGTTGATCCAGGGTAACTCAGAGAGCTGGTGCACCGGAACTGGAAGTGAGAAGGGAAGTTCAGAGGTTAGTTCAGGGACCGTGGGAACTTGCAAATCAGAGATGAACAGGACTAACGTTAGAACAAAAAGGTTATCTTCCCAGAATCCAGTCGGTGTGGGCTTATGCAGAGATTGGGGGGCTCGTTGGAGGGCGGACAGATTTTTGGTTTGTTCCTTGTGGAGCAATGAAGCGGACTGCCACTTAGATTTCCAGGAGAACTTGAACGGGTTGCGTGGAGATTAATCCCCTGCTCAGTGTGAAGCTCAAAACAATCCTTCTAGGGGGAGAAGGCCAAAAATCCAGTTTGCAGGATGACTTCCTGCCGAAAAGGCAAAGACAACAACAAAGTTAGAACTCAGAGAGACAAAGACTCAGCTTGACTCAGCTAAACTCAGCTTGGCTAGAGTACCCAAAACTGGCAAACACTCTGGCAACGAGGTAGTGGCAGTCCACCGCCTAAGAGTCCTCAGTAATGAGCACAACCAGAACAGGGCGCCACCTGGTGGTGGAGGGAGAGAACACAAAAAGACAAACACAGCCCACACACACTGGATTCCTAACAGTCATACCTGCCTCCAAAATATGCGTGAAATCTTCACACCCAGTTTGTCCTTTTGAACCTTCTTAAAGAGGCGTCCAATGGCTCTTTTAGTTTTTTTTTTTTTTTTTGAAGAAAGCCTGAAAACCTGCACGAATAAAGGGACACATTTTTTGTATCCTGATTATTGGGGTCCAGTTGCTGCTCTAATGTCACAATATTCCTTTTGTGCTTAAAGAATCAGAAAACTTCCAATTCAATCCAACCCACTTTATTTATATAGCACGGTTTAAATAAACACAAGGTTTCCAAAGTGCTGCACAAAAAGATAAAATAACTAAAATAAATAAAAGTAAATAAAATAAAAGCACTGCCCACACAGGATAAAAATATGCATGTGTATACATAAAATCAACATGTGTACATAAAATCAATACTCTACATGGTGTTAAAAGCCAAAGAAAAGAGGTGGGTTTTAAGAAGAGTTTTAAAATGAGACAGAGAGGTGGCCTGTCTAATGTGCAGCGGCAATCCATTCCAAAGTTTTGGAGCTGCAACAGAAAACGCTCGATCCCCTCTGAGCTTTAGGCACTGTCAGGAGCAGCTGATCAGCTGACCTGAGAGATCGGCTGGGAGTGTAGGGGTGCAGCCGCTCAGAGAGGTAAATTGGGGCAAGGCCATTCAAGGCTTTAAAAGTAGATAAAAGAATTTTAAAATGAATCCTAAAATGGATGGGCAGCCAGTGGAGTGAAGCTAAAATAGGTGAAATGTGGGTTGGTGAGGTCACAGATGTGCCACCAAAGACCATGTCTTCTGTCTTTTCTTCATTAAAATTCAGAAAATTTAAAGACATCCAAGCTTTAAGGTCATGTAAACACTTTAACAGTGGTTCAACAGAGAAGGAATCAGCCTTTTTGAGGGGGACATACATCTGGCTGTCATCAGCATAACAGTGAAAGGAAATGCCATGTTTCCTGAGAATGGAGCCAAGTGGGAGTAGATAGAGAGAAAATAAAAGAGGGCCAAGCACGGAGCCCTGTGGGACCCCACATGAGAGAGGAGCAGTGGAGGACACAGAGTCATCAAGGCTGATACAGAAAGTCCGATGTGACAGGTAGGACATGAACCATTCCAATGCTGAGCCCCTGATGCCCACCCACTGCTCCAAACGAGCAATCAGGATTTCATGGTCCACTGTATCAAATGCTGCAGTCAAATCTAAAAGTACAAGGACAACACAGTGTCCAGAGTCAGTAGCTAAAAAGATGTCATTAAAAACTCTTAAAAGTGCTGATTCTGTGCTGTGCAATGTTTTAAAACCAGATTGGAAAATCTCAAGAACATTTTGTTAATTTAAAAAGTCCATGAGCTGAGAATAAACAATCTTCTCTAAGATTTTTGAGAAGAAAGGCAACTTAGAGATAGGCCTAAAATTCGACAGAACAGTAGGATCCAGCCCAGGTTTTTTTTAATAAAGGCTGCACAACTGCATGTTTAAGATTTAAAGGGACTACTCCAGAGGACAGACTGCTATTAATAACTGTGAGACACAATGGCCCGATAGTGGGAAAAACCTCCCTAAAAAATCGAGGTGGGACAGTATCATCTGGAGACCCTGAAGGCTTCAAGTGACCCACGATCTCCTGCACAAAAGGCAGGTTCACAGGCTCAAACATGTCAAACACAGCAGAGCAGGGGACAAACACCGAAGGATCAGAAGCAGGAGGTGAAATAAGTGCTCTGGTAGAAAGTTCTCACACACAACAGGGGAGGCCTCAATTACAGTCTGTGGTGCATTCAGGGCAGAGTTAACAACTTTAAACAACACACGAGGCTTACCACAGTTTAAAAGAACAATATCAGAAAAATATTCATGCTTTAATTTTTTATTTCAGTTCTGATTGACCTGTTAAAAGTCTTTAACAAATGGAATCACACAAACAACCTGAGTTCGATCAGAATGATATGTTCTCTGTGGTCTAGTTACAGACATGCAGCTGGTTCTTGTTGGGTGGCCTGGCGTGGGGAAGAGCTCCAGTGGGAACACCATACTGGGAAGAACCGCCTTCAGCACCAGCAGTGCTGCAGACAGTCAGCTCTCAGGTAAACCACAGACTGAGGCTACCCAGCAGTGCAGCCTGCAGCTCTGTGCACCTGGATGTGTTTATGCTATTTAGAGTGTACTCAGATAACTTTCAGACTGTCATATATTGTTCTTTGAACTAAGGCTGAAGATGCTATGTGTTAAAGTTAACAGATGAAGGTGGGATTAAAGCTTTAACACTGAACCGTGTTTAAAGCAGAGTGTGAACATAAATTTGTTTAAGAGAAGGTACAAAAAAGGTACATTACTTTTGGATAAATATGTAGAAGAGGAAAGATAAAAAACAGGTAGATTAATATGGAAGAGTGAATGTAACTAGTTAAATGAGCAACTTAGGTCTCTTGATTCATTAGGGATGGGAAACTTAAAAGTTTATACTTCGTCCCATTCCTTTTCGAACAATTTATTATGGTTTATGTATTCATTGTGTTGTGTTGTATTTACATCTTATATTGTTTTTTGTTGTTCGATTAAATTGAACTGAACTGAACTGAACATTCACAACAACTTCAAGTTAAAATATAATTTATTATTAACAAAAACATTCAATTCCAAGTCAAACATATTTCAAGTTAAAAAAGCTTAAGAAAGCTAATTAGAAAATCTGAAATTTTCCCCATTTAGAGATGGACTACCAGTGTAAGTGTTGTGATCCTGTCCTTTGTGGATTTTTTGGTTCCGTTTGAGTTTCTTTTTGATTTGCTTTTTTTATGTGATTATGTGTTTTCTTGGTTATTGTTTCTTTTCCAATTTGTTCTATTTTAGTTGTTTTCTAGTTATATTTAAGCAGTGTTGTGTTTCTTGTGTTGCTCTCTATTGCCCTCTTGAGCCAGTCTCCTTTCCCTAGCTTTTAGTTGCTTCCATCCACACCTGCACTGTATCAGTTGATTTGCCCAGTCTTTGTTTTGTCTCCCACATATACTCTTCTTGTGCAGTTCCTTGGTGCTGGTTTCTCTTTATTGCTTCTATCCTCATACGTGTTTCCCCCCCGGTGTCTAATTTTGATTTCTTCCTTTTGGTTGCTGGATTTGTATTTCTATTGCCGTCTTCATCCAAATAACTCATCTTTGCATTTGGGTCCTCAACCAATTTCACCCAACCCTGACAGTTAGGCCCTCTATAAATATATATAACGCCTCTTATTTGGACTCTCTGAAGATCAGGCCCAAAGTCTGGTTGGACGCAAGCAGCTTTGGTGCAAAGCTGTTTCACCAAATCTTAGATGATAAAAGGCTCCATGTTTCAGCAGATCCAGTAATTATAAGGAGGTTAAATGGACATCAGACGAAGAGCATCGGCAGGAAGAAAAAGATTAAAAATAAGAATCAGAACATTTTAGCTCATGGTTCAAAGAAGTTCATGATTGGAGTAACGTCCTGTGGTGTTAAAATATGTAGCTGAAGGGCTTGACCTTTGTTAAATTTTCGATAAGCAAACCAGAAGGCTTCTGTGAAATTATGGAGAAACTAACAGAGGCGATTTTTGCAAGAAAGGTTCAAACCAGAAATCCCAATGTTGGTAGATTTACTTTGTTACTGTCATGATCAGGTGGAACCCAGTGCTGTCTGCAGCGAGGGACCATCTTCAGCAGGGAGGTGACCATCATCGACACCCCAGGACTCTCAGGAAGGTTCAGCCCTGACCTGAAGAAGGAGATCCTCAGATGCATCAACCTTTGGAGTCCTGTTCCCCATGCCATCCTGCTGGTTGCCAGACTGGGTTTCTTCCCCACAAATGTTAAAAAAACAGTGAAGCAGATGGAGAGGATGTTGGGGGAAAACGTCTGGAGCCGAACCGTGATCCTCTTAACCCACCAGGATCAGGCGGAACCAGATGTGAAAACCCAGCTGCAGGAATGCAAAGCTAAGCTGAAGGAGCCCTTTTTAAAAAAAGTGTGTCTGGTCCTCAACATCAGCCCAGAGTGCAAAGATCTCCAGCAGATTTGGGATCTTCTGCATGAGGCAACAAAACTGGTTAGTGAACAAATGTCAGTGTCGAGGATGCAGTGAAGCCTGCAGACTGGGTCAGACTTTGGTATCACTGATCCTTTCGTAGGTTCTATCATCTGAAGAAAATTCCCAGCCTTTGATCCAGAACCAAAGCTACAGATCATACTTTTATAGGCGGTAGGGTCCAGGATGAACTGCCTTATGATTTCAATTTAGCTGAATATTGATAACTATTGATTAATTCGATAGACGTCAAACGATACAGGATTTTTCGGGCCGATACAGATTATTTTGACATCAGTCTAACCCCGACATCTCACATCCTCCATAACGGCCCAGCTTCGTTTCAGTCCACCTGTGCAAAGCGAAGCCAATAGCCTCCGCTGTCCCTTCCGTCTTGCTCCGCTCCAACTTCCTAGGAGCTCGAGGAGAGCATGCACAATATTATTAAATTCATAGGAGCAAAACATGCGATAATTGTCATGATTTTCGAAAGGGATAAATAGTATCATTTATCCCTATTACAAAGACCCATAGTTGATCATTGATTGTTCTCTACCTCAAATGGATGGATGGATGTGAAAGAGTTCTCATTGATTAACATTATTGCACAAGTGCTCCACATGACGTACATGAGCGGGTCGGAGACGGAGGATGTGGAATCCTTCATTGGGGTTGATTCTTGAAGCCGATATCACCTTTTCTTCTTCCATTTACATGATAGAAATGATGAGAAATGTTACACCAGCAGGGCTTGATGTTAACCATTGCCCGATCTCCCGGGGCAAGTGGTTTTTATTGTTGGGAGAGTACAAATTTCATTGGATTTGCCCCCCGGGCAATTGCAATGATAACTTTTTAAATCACCAACATTCGATGAAAATGACCCAGAAGCGTTGCCGGCGCCATTTTTGTTGTTTTGTACACATTCTTGCATGATTTGAAAAAGGCGCATGATTTGAAAAAGCGATTTTCTGCCAGATGGCATGATTTTTGTCCATCTAACAGTAATTTTGATGTAGTTACCAAAACGACAAACGGCTGCATTTATTTTGTCAGGGCAAACTAATCCTGAGTCAGTTAATTCAGGGAATTCTGAAATTATGTAAGACTGTGGAAACCCTGTATAAAATAACTATGTATAATGATTCTCTAGAAAAGTCATGTTATATTAATAGTATTATCTTGTATAAACTAAAATAAAAGTTATTCATTTGTGACATTGACTTCTGTCTTGTGATTTATCTTAAGTTTTTAACCTGTCAAGTTTTTTTTTAGATTTTTAACATTACTATTTATCTTTTTCCAAGCACACAACAGTTTAAAGCAAAGTTTAGTTTGAAAAGAATGTGCAGGAAGGTTTGAAAAGCATGTTAGCACGGTAATGTAGGCTTGAGGTCATTATCTAACGCATGCATATACACACCAGGAACCTGGAAACTGAAAAAATACTGAATTACAAAAAACCATTTAAAAAACAAACATGTTTCATTGATATATATATATATATATATATATATATATATATATATATATATATATATATATATATATATATATATATATATATATATACAAAAATGAATATTAGGAAATACATTTTACTGGGCAAGTAAAAATTGTTTCTGGGCAAATGAAATGTGAAAGTCACTTGCCCAAAGGGCAAGTGGTGAAAATCCTTAATGTCAACCCCTGACAAGCCTCACTTTAAAACCTTTATTAATAAACCTAGCATTAACAATGGATAGCAGATGAAGGGAGAAGCAATGCATGAGCATCATGTAACAATCAGGAGAACCTCTGTGTTATATAAGGTTGGATTAGGTCAATATTTGTCTCTGAGGGAGCGCTACTGTAGTTAATGATAAGCCACAGGGTGGAGAGTCACAGAGGCTGTCATACAAAAGAGATCTGTTCTCTCTGAAATATTTTGGACTCAAAAAATCCCACTTGACTCACATTTGGTAGCCCTGGAGGATGAGGGCACAGATGAACCGGAGAGGATACTTGGAACACTTTGGCGAAAAACGACAACTGAACATAAAAGATCTGAAGTTTGAAGCTGAAAGGTTTGGTTTGGAAAACGGATACCTCCAAATCAGTGGCGGCTGGTGAAAAATATTTTTGGTGGGGCTGATCCGGAATAAGAATTCAAATAAACAATTGGAAATGAAATACAATTTAACAGTAATGCTTTAATTTACTATATAATAACAGTAACAGTGATGATTTTGGTCACTGTGACGGGGTTCTTTGGCCTCCAAGAATCCAGGCTCAGTCGGGTTACCGGTGTTGGTGATTTATTGTGCTCAAAAACTCAAAACAGGGTGCAAAAGAAACTAAACATGTACAAGATACTCTGGGCCTCAGCCTCCCTCCAGTTACCAGCAATGTAACAAAGAAACAGAAAACAGAAATGGCCGCTCTTCTTCCCACAGCCCTCATGAAATAGTTTAAGCCCCTACAGGCTCTCTTATTTCTGATTTCTTCTCATTAATCAGTTTTGTCCATATATTACCTCCACAAACAATTGATGTACTAAAACAAATAATTTTTACAACTTAATTCCTTTACACAGATTCATTGACTTATTCAATTACACCAAACTGGGTTTGAACTGAAGATGACAAGTCCCCGTAGCATAAACACGTACATACACCCCCCCCCCCCCCACACACACACACACACACACACACATGGCTAACCCCACTGAAATATTAAGTGTGCACCCTCAATACGCCAGCAGGTAACCAGGAACAGCTTGTGTGTTTTAAGTTCATGGAGCTACTGGGCTCAGCGCGAGCGTATTGGTCCTCACAAACACAGTATAACAGGAATGTGTGTGTGGCACGCAAAGTTAGAGAGGTTGTTTTAAGCGACGAGGTGGATTCGTCACAGTCACAATAACCATGACATGAAATTTTCTTACCCTACAACAGGGATGTTCTTCTGGCAAATGGGTAGATAAATAAGCATCTCACCGAATTTGGTGGAAGCTGCATCTCGCTCGTTACGTTCGCCATTGTCCCTCTAATTGTCTGCACCTGCGCTTGGGTTCAGAAGCCTGTAAAAGGGCAGTATTTTCAGAGCCCCAAGACCATAAAATTCTGAGACGCTGAATTGCCATTAAATTATTAAATTGACCTAGCAATAGTACATGATTGGCAGATTCTCTGCACATGTGGGGCAGTCTGATCAGAGCCCCAAGACAGAGGCGGTAGGAGTCTGTCTGTGGAAATCCACAAATGAACGACAGTAGATAGGGAAATGTAGTTTATATAATTTGTTTTGCTTATAGGTACACAGTCTAGAGAGTAAAACTGACATTTATGAGTTAATTTCTAAAAATATATTTTACGTTTCTCTCTTCTTATCAGGGAGGGCGGTGCCCCAGCGCCCCCTATGGGCCGGCCGCCACTGCTCCAAATGGAAAACATCCCAGAATATCCTAAACCAGAGTTCCATGTGAGTCTTCTGAAGCATGACACTACAGGATCAGGGTTACGTGGGATCAGGAAGGACAGAGGCTTCAGGGATCCATGGGCAAGAGGCAGAGACAAAGATGACAGACAACCATTCACACACACACTCACACCTAAGGGGACTGTAGAGAAGCCAATTAACAGTCATGTTTGTGGACTGTGGGAGGAAGCCGGAGTACCCTGAGAGAACCCCCACATGCTCAGGGAGAACATGCACACTCCATGCAGAAAGACCCCAGAACCTTCTTGCTGCAGTGATACCCACTGCGTCACTGAGCAGCCCACTAAATAGCAGATAACCTTATAATAAATCCACATCTCCTCAGTTTAAGTCAGAAATCAAAAACTTGGGTTTGTTGCAAAATTAGGTGATCCTGCTTCTGATATGCCCTGCAAAGTGGAGCCGGTACCTTGGAGCACTTCAGAACCAAATTGCTGCAAAACTGACCGTTTGCAACATTTTTCTCTGAGTTTCAGAACTTATACAGCCAGACTGGCGGTAAAAGCCTCCTGAGGAAGCACCCAGTGCAATGGCTAAATATCCATCTATATAATGTAAACAACCGGTGCAATAATAAAAAAATAAATAAAGCTGTTATATGTGGACACAATGTATATACTGTATATATCCCATGCACCTTTTTCTTCCTTTGGCACATTCTTCTTCTTTGACTATTGAGCTGTGAGATCAATAAGGACAATCAATCAATCAATCAATCAATCAATCAATCAATCAATCAATCAATCAATCAATCAATCAATCAATCAATCAATCAATCAATCAATCAATTCTGGATTTTAGGCTGGTTGTGTAATTAAAAAGACACTTGCTGTCAATCAAAACAAAAGCACTACTTGTTCATTCGGAAGTTCAGAACATCCACCTCTGTTGTCCAGTCACACTTTTCAACTCATTTTAAATTTTGATTTCATCTTTGAAGGATCTCCTGGAAATTGTTACAACAAATATTCCAATAATTTTCTCATATAGAACCTAAATTCACAATGAATCAGATTATTCATAATTTATTTCTGGAAATGTTTACCAGCTTGTGGTTTTCTTGCAGTTTTGCTCCGGTTCTGAGCCCATAATGCGAGTTTACAGGACAGTTCTATATAAAAAAGAGGTGATGCATGTCGTTCTGGTCCACAGTCCAGCTAACCAGAACTTCTCCCCTTACCCTTTGCTCACCAATGACCCAGATGGCATCTGCGCTTACAGGGATGGCCATTTTATCTGGAGACCAGAGGCCATGTGTGAGACACATTGGTAAGAGCAGCGAATTTTGGGATATTTCAGTTTTAATAACATCACAAATCATTAGATAATGATTAAATATCATTAGATAAAGAAAGAAGATTGCTGGAAGTTTCTTTTATGTTTAAAGACTAGTAACAGTTTTGACAAAAAAGAAAGCACAGCCTGCTTCAATTATAATTTTTCTCTATGTAATGTGACTCAGGATTTAGTAGAACGTCTTGGATTCATTTCCCGGCCAGAGAGCTTTCTTCCTGTAATGTGTTCTTCTAACAGAGATTCTGGGCTTTTTGTAATTTCTCTTAACTTCCCGCTCTGACATTGGGCTGAATTTGGCGAATAAGATGGTCTGTAGGGGATAATCTTTGTCTGTGCATAACGGGGAACTTTATGTGCTCTGGATGGGGACCTTACAACTGTCATGTTTATTGGGTCTGTATAGAGAACCAGTGTTAGATGACAGGGTAGTTGGTTTTCCCAGTGGCTATAGGCAGTCCAGTGTTTACTGAGCCTCTTCCTTCTTTCAGGTGGGAGCTGTTCTGCAGACATGACAGCCAGCGGCTGGAGGTCTGTGCTGCAGCTGAGAATCTGCATTACGTCTGGAACCATGCTGCTATTGCACTGGATGTTGGAAAAACAAAGGTACTATAGTCTCCAAGTACTTTAAGGCAAGGCAAGGCAAGGCAAATTTATTTGTATTGCACAATTCAGTACAAAGACAATGCAAAGTTCTTTACATGATAAAAATACAGGAAGATAAAACAGAATCAAAGAAAGTAGGAAAAAATAAAAAGTAAATAAAACAAAATAAAAAATGCAGAAACAAAAAAAGAATATTAAAAACAGTTGGATTAAAGAAAATATGTTTCAGTTGAACTGTTTAACTAGAACAGTCGAAGGCAATCCTAAACAAATGTGTTTTTAGTCTTGATTTAAAGGAACTCAGGCTTTCCGCACTTTTACTGTTTTCTGGAAGTTTGTTCCAGATAAGTGGAGCATAGGAACTAAATGCTGCTTCTCCATGTTTAGTTATGGTTCTAGGTCTGCAGAGCAGACTGGAGCCAAAAGACCTGAGTGGTCTGACGGATTGGTACACTGATAGCAAG